AAAAATCTTAAATAATCAACTCTTAGGAATTATAAATTCATAAAACCAAGTTGCGATAAAAGCTCTTACACAAACTATAAGCTTTGCCCACACTTTATTGCACTGCCACACATTAATGAAAACCAACAATGATTATCGACCAAATAGCAACAAGTGCAAATAACAGGTATACAGGCACAGTAACAAACAAGTGTACCTTATGTATTTACAGAGATCCATTAAACACACATGGTTCCACAGTAAAAATATAAATTACGAAGAATGAAGAGCCCAGTTGCACCAAGTGATAAAGGCAAGGAGTTTGGATTTGTTTTATCAACAATTATCGATAATCAGTATATGAAGAAGGAGATAATAATGGCTTTCATCAGGTCAGAAATGTACCGGTGCTAGTGGAAAAAGAATCGATAGATTCATGTGATAATAAAGTCAACTACGCCCAACAAAAGGTGCGAAATGATAGTTCGACAAAAGCCCCAATGGGGCAAAGAGAATTTTATTGAGAAACTTCCAAGGATGAGAATGGGTTTTGCCAAGGAACAGGGGTAGAAGCGGCAACTGGCCATCTCAAGTGCAGTTTTGCTTTTGTCGTTTGGCTCATTATGAATATACAACATTGGTAAATAAATGAGTAAATTCTATTTTCTATATCCATCTATATCCATCAACGACAATTGCCTTTTTAATTCTTATTTCAATCCACTAATTCCTATAACAAATGGAATTATTGCCCTTTTCATTTCTTTCATTTCTTTATAAAATAAGATTAGAAAAGCCTCAATTTGGCGTAATCTAACAGATTATTCTTCTATCTTGGTAAAGTGTCCTTGTAATCCTTTTAATATTAAAGACAAATTTTGAAGCGTTCCAGTATTTGCGAGTTTTTTATATTGATATGCACACTTTTAAAATCTTTTATTTATTAACCAATCACTAAAAATGAAAATTGGTGATTTGGCTTGAAAACCAATCCATCTGAAGAAGTGACATTGATTTCATGAAACCTATCTCTGTTCAATTTGCTTTTATCGCTAGAGTAATTGCTCTTTTGAAATTTTAGCAAACATGAGAGAGAACAATGATCTATATTGAAGAAAAAAAAGGCTGCTAGAATTCTAGAAAATTTGTTGGCAAATTTGCAAAAAGTGAACGATTAAATTTAAATTTGTTTTACATATGGCCAATTTAAAAATTTAAATTTATTATATATATGGCCCATATTCGAGAAAATAAGATTTAAGAAGGAGGCCATGCGCAATTGCATCCGCAAATTTTGTCGGTACATTTAGCTTTTTACTTTTCTCCATTCTTAAATTCAGATTTATTGAACGTTGAATACTACTTAATTGATAATGGCTTTTGCGACCTTACCTTCTTTAAATATTTCAATTATTTGAATTATTTGCAAAGATAAATTTCCTCCCAAGTCCGTCAGCGCACCAATACAGCGAGTGGGGACAGCCTTTCTTCATTACTGATCTCAGTTTTATATATTTCAGTTTGATCAGTTATCCAAGTAATTAGCATCAAAAATGAGGCGCTAATATAATAAAAATGATTAAGCAGTCTTTGTCGGTCTATAAATATTTGCTATTCATGGATTAGAAAAACATCGATTTGGTCACCTTTTTCGATAAATACAGCGAATTATTGCAATAAATAAAAAGTGGAAAACATATAATGGAAAAAATTACAAAAACCAGAGCATAATCACAACATTCTTCCGAGCTCATCATGTAATGAAATTGATGTGACACTTTATTACTTTCCAAAATAAGTCGTCTTCCGGTAGCTCATCATTTTTTGATTTGGCTGGCACAACTGACTCTTAGGATAGGATTCGGATTCGTCTGTCAGAGAGTCACTCAGAGATAGAATTGCAGCAAACATCACTCTTATTTTCTCGCTCGTTTTTACGATAATACGACAGATAAATAGCATTGGCCATAAATAATTAGGCAATTTAGAAAGATTTCTCCCTTTTTTTGATCTTTTCTAAGGATTTGTTACCAAATTTGGGCCAAAATATTTGAAATAATAGTCTAGCAATATGCTATAATTTGGCCATCTCGCCTAGCATCTATTGTTTTTAAAAATTGTTAAAATCAATTATCATGAATATTTATTTAAGTTTTTTGCTATCTTCATTTTAAAATTTGTATTCACTGATTCGTTGCTCGAATTTTCTAATAAGTATTCCATGCCAATTCATATTTCTACTGTGCTTCATTTTCATTAATATTTTGTGCTTTGAATTTATTACTTTGCACTGGGAAAGTTTTTTGGCCAAAAAAGTTACTGGATAAAGTTGAAAAATGATAAAAAGTTAGTTAGTGAGCTCTCCATTCTGTTTAGATAGCTTCACTGGCTGTTAATATTACAGTTAGAAATTTTTATCAGGAAATCTAATGATAGTTGGCGTTAAATATCGTCAATACGATCTGCGCTTTTGCTCTTGTAGGGAAAGATTCGAACCCTTACCTCTTAACACAAGGATCTGAGGCATTGTCCACTCCACTACCTTAGCACTGAGTAAAAATTGGTATAAAATAAAATAATTGCTATTAATATTTTTTTTGCATTTTAGTCAGTTTATAGACAGATTGATGCACCGTATACAAGGATCTCAAAAGTCTTATCAAAAAATCAGTGATTTAGGAGATATCCAAGAGAGACAATTCGACAGTAGTAATTATAGTTGAATAATTATCTACAAGCTATTCCACAGTAAAAAATTCGGTTTTGAAATAAATTTTATTCGTTGACTTATTTTTGCTGCAAATGTTTGCAAAAAATTTCCCGTATTCTGTAGGTGCTGTGCCACTATGACGATGGCCATACCAAATTGCAATATGAAACAGTCTGTCTCGTCATCCTCTTTTATCTCCTCTATTCCTCTACTAAACTTCATCCAAAGCATGCCGTAGACTGATGCTATGCTCACCAGATTTCAATTTCAATAACTAACAACTTAAACGTAGGAATGTGGAATATTCCACCTCTGATCTTTATTCATATTTGTATTTCAAATACTTTTTAAGCACCTTTTTTTCATCCCTTATGCAGATTAAATGTAGTAAAAAAATAGTGGAATAGTAGCAATTTTGCCAAATAATTTATTAAATTTAAAATAAAAAATCAATAAAACTGTTGATTCTGCTCGTCAATTCCCTCACGTTTTTGTAATTTTTTTGTAAATTTTTTCGTAATTTTTTGTGATACCATATTGTTATCATACAATAAAAAGAATAACGCCAAAAGAAAACTTCATAAATCAATCGTTATAAAATTCCAGAAAACAATCTAACATCTCCAAGTGGAGGTCGACGGAGACCATCCTGGAGATCTTGTTTTTTGTCTATTCAGTCATAGATTAGAATCATAGATCGAGAAATTAAGGAAGAACATTAAGTTTCAAGGCAAATCTCCAAGAATGCTTTCTTCTCAAACGTTATATAAATAAAATAATTTTTGAATTGACTGTTGAAAAAAATAATCATTTCAATGAGCTAAGAAAAACTAAAGGTATTAAAGTTTTGATTTTGATTGGTTCGATGCGGATGATGCTGAGAATTCAATTGCAATTTTATCTTCAAGTGTCTTTCTGGACAAAAAATCATGGCTAAGAGTTCTTGCCGTTCTTGGTTTATGGAATTGTGACCGCATCCTTTTGGTATCACACCAAGTTGGTTGACACACCGCTCTATTCGTTTTTATTTCGGTTTTTTTTTTCATGGATATCACTGAGGGAATTGGTGGAGATTAATCTCAAAATCTGTGCAGAAAATCTGTTCAGAACTAAAAGTTTCACAAAATACCGTGCGAAATCTGCGTGCAATGAGAAAAAAAAAATCTCGACAATCCCATGAATTGACAGATCATAAAATAAGAACAGGTTTGGAATCGTGTTGCAAAAACGACGCAAAAACTTTAGCTTTTCTCGAATGGATTTTATGTACGAAAATGGATTCAAACAGGAAAAGATCAATGCAATGGTAGGATAGGATCAACTTTTCGATACATAATCCGATCTTCATTCGAAGGTTATGGTTTGACGGTCTACCGCAGGATTAATCCAATAGTTTTTTAAAACTGATACAGCGATTGTATAGTCATATGTACATAGTACAATAAAGAATTGAAAATAGTCAAAGGCTGGAAATTATGAACAAATACAAGTCAGCATGTCGCATAGATCATTTTCATTGCAAAAATTTTCGAATTGAGCATCGAAGAGTTTATCCACCATATTTCCAAGATTTTTCTCCAATAAATTTTTACTTCTCTTGCTCTTTCGACAATTTCCTCAAAATAAAAAGGCTTTCGAAAAAAAGGAGAACAGAAGAACTATGAAACTATGAAACGACCTTACGTTAGTTCATTGTGCCAAAAGCTCGGATTTTTATGCAAACGAAATTTTTGCATCATGTTGCTAAAAGTAGTTCTAATAACTATAATATAATAACTATAATGGTAATGGTGCTTATTTTGAGTGAAAATTCTGATTTCCAATAAAGTTATGGCTTTATAAAATGAACAACACAAAACCGCAAGAATTTTTAGGATGACCGAACAGATGAAGATTATTTTGATATACGTGTTTAGCTTTTGATATTTAATTATTAACAATACTTCTGCTTACAACTTTGATCCTAACTTTGTGTTTGAAATTCTGTAAGGAAAAGAATGGATCGACAAAATGAAGCAAAAGTTTTTCAAATTTCAATGATGGAACCAATCATAAAAAGAATACAATGAATTGTAAATTAAATTAAATTACAATACTGAGTAAATATCGCATTTCTTTCTTATAATTTCTTATTTACACATTAAACAAATAAGAAAAATGACCATTCTCTTAAGAAAAGTTTGAAAATGAAATAAATTAGATATAAGCAATAAGCATACATACCTTCATTAAAATATCTTTTAAAGGCATTTAAGAAAGGCATTCCAAAAAACTTAATTTACTAATTTTTATCAAAAAAAAACAATACTATTTATAACTGCCAATGTTCAGCAAAATCAATATAAAGTGAATGCTCTAACCGACTGATTGCATTCTTATATGATAACGTACCATTCATATAGCAAGCATCGCGCAGTTGACCATCCTAAATATTAATATACTAACCATTTCGAAAAAGAGAAATGAGAAGTTTTAAATAAAAAAAAAGAACCATAAAGACTGATCAAAGGAAGCAAAATTAGAATTCATTAACTTGGTTAACTCAATTTTCACTTCAATTTACTTTAATTAACTCTAAGATTCTACCCTGTCAAAATTCAATTGATTTCCTACTGAGAGATACTTATTTTGATTAGCCAATGCAAGAAAAAAGCATCGAAGTTCGCTGAAGCTTGTTAAGGTTTTGACGTTCATTAATGATGCAGAAACCAATTTTCGTTCGTTCGAAGTTAGGTTGCCATACTAAAAAGATTCGATTAAACTAAACAATTCGCTAACTGTTCATAATTCATATTATATTTATCTAATGACAAGAAAATAGTTCATAAAAGAATTGGAAAAATTCTATTCGTTTGATGAAGTAACGATAAGCAAGGAAACAAAATAAACTTTAGTGCGAAGAAGTCGTTCGATTCGCCCAGCAAAAGGAATGAAAAAATTTGAATTACTGGCGGTAATTGAAGTAACAAAGGCCCAGTGACACCTAAAAATCTCGACCGCAATGAAAGAAGATAAAGAAATTTTAAATTTAAAATTTTTTTATGACACAAACATCTGAAATTGCGCTATATAGCCGGAAGGTAGTGTACACAAAGTTTCCAACAATTTGCAGGCAGCTAAATACAATTGCATCCACTGATCATTGCGGTCACACTTTAAATCATCCGAAACATTGGCAGTGCCGGTAAGCTGCTGTTCTATTTGCAATAAAACATGGATCTAAAATATTTGCCACTAAATAAATAAGACTTTATGAATCCCTATATTAAAAAAAAAAATTAAAAATTTAGATGCCGATTTGCTATTGTTATTTGGAATAATAAAAAACAGCGATATAGTGATTTACTTAAAACTTACCAGCTCGGTAACCATAGATGGCCACATACTAACTAAATGGTCTGGTCTCATGCGAATTAACAGAACGCGATAGCAAAGAAATACTTGCGAATGTACATTTGGAACCTGCGAAAGCCTCAAATTTTCCGACAACCGTTCTGCAATACCGTTTGTCTAATGAAGAAAAAAAATTTCCCTTTTAAATTAATAACAATTTCATCGTTATCAAGAAATAAGTAAAACTATTTTTTAAACACTACTGAAAAATAAAGAAAATGAGAAAAAGAGCAATAAAAAACGTGTAAAATAATTTAAAAATATTGACAAATACCTTGAATATCAGGTAATTGGGTATTATATTGATCAAGTTCAGAACTGAGCACGATAAATGCCAATCTTTTAAGAGCTTGAGCACGCATATCATACTCTGCTTCTTTGCTAGTTATTAGGCTCGAGAGAGTTGAATTTGGAGTGGTCGATATGCGGGCTAAATAAAAAAAGCAAAGAAAGACATGCATATAAATGATATAAATGATATGATATGATATAACAATGATATAATATGATATAACAATGATATAATATGATATAATATGATATTTTAATATAAATGATATAATATGATATAACAGTAATATAAATGTAAATGTACTATTAATTACTAATAACTTTCGGCTAGATGAACATAGAGGAATTTCAATAAAAAACTACCTAATAATTCTTTAAAAGAAGTCTTATCATGTGTCATCAAATGATCGATAACAATTAGCCACTGCTTCAGAGATTGCAAATCCATTTTGAAAAAAGCTAAAATTTCATAGAGGAGGCGCCATTAAACAATAATTTAATTTTTAAAATAATTTTTCGATGCATAAACAATAAAATCAACTCAACTAAATTAACTAAAATCAACTAAAATTTATCATGATTGTAATAGCATTAAAAAATAACCAGGATCAAGCAGAAGGTCCAAAGTAGATTTCCTCCAAACTGACCTCATATAACTAAACGTACTTATTGAGGCCAACAATTGCGAACTAGCCAAAAAAAAACGCGCGTTTCTCGCACTGAAATAATTATTTATGAATGGTGAAATGACTGAACAGTGATGGAGGTAAATCATTTTTCTGGTACGCATCTTGTACTGCTTGCACAGACAAATTATAAAATAAAAAAAATAATGAATACCAACTTATCATTTACTAAAAAGAAACTAGAAAGAAATATCGCCAAATACTTAAAGATAATACTTTTTTGCTTTCAGATAAGGCAAAGTATTTGCCCAAACAGCATGAAGCGATGGTAATAGACGTTCTTTATCCTCACTTTTACAGATGGAGTCGACCAGCTCAGCCAAATTCTGATAAAAAAATAGCGAAATAAATATTCTCAATTCCTCAATATTCCTCGAAAATTGACTTTTAAATAAAATCATAAACGATAAATAATAAAACAAACACCTCTGCCAAAAGGAATAAAGCTTGCGTGCTATAAGTAGGATCACGTTTGCAGCCACTATTATCTTTAAGACTTGAACGCAAGTTTGAAGAGTTTCGTTTTTCGGGCAGTGATGATAAAATGGAAACCGACTGCTGCGAAACACCCAAAGAGGATGTTTCAAAGTTCGTTAGCCTATTAAAACTAGAAATTTAACAGAACTCCTATAATAATGATGTCAATTGATTCCATAATAAAATGTAATAAATGAAAGCTAAATAAGGATGGAAAATTTTTAAATTCTATGCAATAAAATCAAAAAAATACTTGGAAGTCGCCAAAGAACTTGTTGATCCTCGTAAAGAACTGGTTTCTGATGTAGCAATGGAGGAAATAGTAGCAAATTCCGAAACAGGTGAGGTTTCTTGGGACTTCTGGCCTAAAAGTTGATGAAAAATATATATTAATAACTATAATAAAAGAAATAATAATGATAGTGATAACCAATAACAATTCTAATCACGATAAATAAATATTAACGAATTAGTAAATGAATTTTTAAGAATAAGGAACAATCTTGAAAAAACAAACTTGAATCATGCTTTACAACTAAAGTTCTTTTTAACCAAGTGGTTTGTTCAAGTTGCCAACCAATTATTACATTAACTGCATCGATCATTTTTTGGTAAGCATCTTGTACTGCTCGCGACATTTGTTTGTCTTCGATGATGGACGTACTTCCCGATAAACGAACGAAATCCGCAAGAATACTGCAAAAAAAGAAAAACTAACGAAATTAAATTTTTAATAACAACTTAACAATAATAAAAAAAATAAAAAAGCATGAAATTTTTCATGCCATAAAAAATAATTTAAATTTTAAGCATTTCTAAAGAAAGATAAAAATTTTTTAATTTTTATTTAATACTTTATTTCCATTTATATAATTTAAACCACAGTATAATGACAAATAAAGCATAAAAATATAAAAATGAATACATAAATAAAATAAAAACAGCTTTTGGTGGCAAATTCATAATTGGAGCATCAGTAAAAAGTATTTGAAGTGAAGACCAACAACCAAGCAATGAAGAAGGTGGTGCGGATCGTATATAGCCATGAAGTATTTCTAACATCGCAACTTCAGAAGGCGATGTGTTTTGCTAAAAAAATTTTTAAAATGAACTAATACGTCTAAGAAAAACAAAGGTATAAAAAAGTATATAGTATATAGTAAAACAATTAAAACTTATATAGAATTTCATGGATCAAAATTGTATTACTAGGAAATTTACGATAAAAATCATCCACTGAAAACTTTCCCAAGAAGAAATTGTATAAAATTGGATGAGAATTTAATATGCTTTAATTAAAAAAAATACTTTTTCTATAAAAGGGATATTCTTTGTAGTTTTTCCAGCACATTCTTTAAGAGAATCTGCGATACATGAAACAAGATTTTCGAAAGGTAAATTTTTAATGTTTGAAAGAAGATCAGCGATATCCAGTTGAGAGCTTGAATATTCAAAAGATGACTGAAAATATTCACAAATTGCATTAAAGAAACTGTTATCAATACTTTATCAATACTTTAATATTCATTATCTTTCAGACTTTCATTACCTTTATTTTTATTCATTTACTTTCATTTACAACTACGCTTATTTTAATATTTTATTTAAAATATTTTTGACTTATTTATAAAAAAATTTTTTAAATACATTTGAGTAAATAAATACATCAATAAGTATTTAAAATAAATAAAACAATGAGTGTAATGACGACCTGATCCGGCTCTACTCGATTCATCAACTGGTTATGAGAACTTGATGATGCTTTTGCGAGCCAAACAAATGATAGAGCGGAAAAAAACGCTTGCTGATGGTACTGGACAACTGGCGATGCAAGCTCGAGTATCAAACGCCGAATTTGCTGAAACCATTCATTTACCTTTAAAATCATAAAACAATAATTTTTAAAAATTGCATACCGAAGTACTTCCTACAGATGTAAATTCACTATCTTTCGTTAACGTCCAAACATCACATATGGTAGCCAATATGTGGGGAAAAGCATTAAGCATTTCATCCTTCGCCAATTTCCAACTTCCTCCATTTGCCCGTTCAGAAAATTTGTTGATGGATGCATTTGTTGCCTGAACTATTCGAAACTTATTCAGTCAGAAATAACTGGATCCATAATGAAATTAAAAATGTGAAATATTTAAAAAAAAATAGATGAACGCATAAATTACCATTGATGTACTATCACCAAAAGAAAAGACTTTAACAAGGTTGGATATTAATTCAGTTGCTCCTTTCGTTCCCGGAATGACACTCATCATTGACGACGACAGTGAAGAAGTTATAGCCTTTAAAAATTATAGCCTTAGTTATAGCCTTTATAATTAAATAATGAAAACTCCTTTAAAAATTGTAAAAAATAAATGATACATGAAAAATAAATAAATGATATAATATGAAATCGTTTATGATTTGAAAGAAAAAACCGAGGATGGAACATGAGCATTAGTCATCGTTGAACCACTGGCACCAACTGAAGCATTATCGATAAGGCAATAATGAATGAACGTTGTAAGTGTTTCTAGAGCCTATAATCAAATAACAAAGATGATTTTAAAAATTAAAAATTAAAAAACGCCAAATATATATTTTATAATATTAATCGTATATATTTTGAAAATATTTTCCTTGATTAATTAAAAGATCAAGATTAATCAAAATTCAATGAAAAGAATAAAAATAAAAATTCTTGCTAACAATAATAATGTAATTCGGCGGATAAACCAAAACAATCGAATCACGATTATGGAGATGAGAATTCTGAGAGTTCGTGGATAATAAATCATCTGAACTCCGAAAAAAAGTATTGACAGATGATTCGATATTCTTGCATAATTGCTCGACGATATGAATAGAAAACGTTGGTAAAGACCTGAAACTATCACAGTACAATAACATATTGTATTATTATATTATATTCACTTTTTTTATGAAAATACAAAAGAAACAAAATGCTACCTATCCAAAAATGGAAGAATTTGGACGATAAATAACTGCCATTGTTCGTGGCGAAAAGGATTATGCTTGAGGGCATTTAATACTGTCAACAGAAACATGCGTAATTCGACCATTCCTACATGAGGTTCACGCAGTGTTGACCGATGCTGTGGTGAATTATATATTTGATGATTGATGGATAATTTGTCGATATATATACCATTTATAGTCTAAAAATTCGAAAAATCACATAAAAGTGGTTATAACATTACAAATAATCTCAAAAATAATAAATAAAAAACATAACATAAATCTGAATAACAAAATAACTGAACTACATGATCAGTGAAATCTTGGAATCCATTTTTGATATCCAGTTCCAATTGAATAACAACTGCAGTTAAATCAAGTAAAGAACTTTGGTAACCAGAAAAAAGGTCAGCGAACTGGTCAGAATATTTCGATGGTCCTTCATTGAATTCCAATATATCAACCGATAATGGTAAACTAAAAAAAAAGTAGCAATTTTAAATGAAAACCAAAAACTGAAAATTACGCTATTCAAATAGATTTTGCATTTCCTAAAATAGATACGCATTCAGATTCCAAATTCCTTTAGCATAAATTAGTATAAATTTTGCAAGTACTAACATTTCTTCTGCTGTACTTCTAATATTATGCACAGAAGTCAGTAACAGATGAAGAAGACATTTTTGAAGCTTAGAACGTTGTAAAATTCCATGAATAAAAGCTACCAATGAGCGTGATTGATTGTCACGAATCATTGAAATTAATTCGCGAATAATTTCAGAAAGAAAATCTAAGGCAGCCATCTGGAACTTATGAACAAAAATTATCTTTAAAAATAAATAATTAAAATATGAATAAAAATAAAAAACAAAAACCTTGCATTTCCATGCGATACGTAAATCATCATCTGTTACTAGTGCTGTAGGGGAATTCAAATAATAAGACCGCAAAAAATAAAGCGATACCTAAAGTTATTATGAAGAGAAGAAATTATAAATTATAATAAAAAATTATTTCTTATAATTATAAGAAATTATAATTATAATTATAAGAAATTATAAGAAATTATAAGAATTATAAGAAATTAGAAATTATTAGAAATTATAAACAATAAGAAAATTTATTATTTACGAGATAATTCTGAGATTATTAAAAAAGTGGTAAATAAATATAATTGGATTCGAACAATTGGCAAAAAATTTAAAATAAAAAACTTACAGTAATAAATAGTTCAAGAAAAGTATAATGTTTGTTTTTGGTACTGTCACTTCCAACATCATTGCTTGACCAAAATTCTTGTCCAAGTATGGCGCGAATATGTTTCGATAAAAGATCAATTAATTGTATAGAGCTAGTTGAAGGTTTAGGAAGAGAAGTTATACCAGAAGAAACCATACAGCTGTTAATAATATAAACGCATACAAGAATATAAACAGCATTTAATTACAAGTTTAGAAGTGAAATACCTATCAATCTAACTTATCAATCATTCTAGATGCCATAAAGCACCATAAGAAAAGTTCATCAGAAATGGTATTTTATCAACCTAAATGTGAATACCTAACAATCATTCTTGAAGCCATAAAGCCACGTTGTATTCTTAGTAGAGCGATCAGCATGCGAAAAACTTTTTCTACTCGACCAAGATCAACTGTTCGACCACTTTCAGCATATAAAAGCATATGAGCATGCAACTCATGACAAAGAGATTGCTTTTCATCTCCTGCTGTATTCATTCGAGGAAGTTCAGATGTATCAAATAACCTGCTCGTTTATTTCAATTAGCAAAAAATTGGAAGAATGAAAGATATATGAGTATAATGTATAAAGATATATAAATATATAAAATATATAATTTACTTCAATTCCTGCGCTGACATTGTGAAAATACTTTCTTGCAGAGAATCTTGTCTTCGATGGCCACTTTTGATTCTTTTGATATTATCTGCTAGAACCGTGCTGACATCAGAAATTTTGGGCTTTGTAGGAGCAACTGAGTTAACTGTTTTACAGTTTGAATGAGAAATAGTTGCAGATGCACTGGAAAAATGAGATGGAAGAAAATAAATATCTACATGATTCCTCAATTCTATGGTTTCACATTTTATTTAAATAAAACCTCTGTTCTATACAAACTGGAAAATTGTTTTCAGATAGAAAATAATCATCCCTAGCATGAGATGTCATTTTAGATTGACCGGTCTCATCAAAACTGCAAAATAGTTGATTATCAGCATCTCCATACATCGCACATATACTATCGACAACGTATTGAAGAGCATCCACAACATCATGATCAACTGAATCAATCGACAAGCCACTTAAAGAATCCTAAAAATTTTAAAAAAGTGAATCATTTGCATAGTAATGTTTCGGTACCATTTGCCGGTAGTACCAACGACTTATTTTCAGTGGAATGCAGAATACTGCCGAAAATTAGAGAATCAGTCCACTTTCAACTATCTTTATTTCTATTTTCTGCAATATAAAAATAAAGCACCTGAAATTCTCGAGTGAACTCATTAAGAATGTTTCAATTCAAAAAAACAAAAAATTGCTATAGCTGGAAAATTAGAAAAATATGATGAAAATATAAAAAATGAGCATAAATTAAAGTGCAAAAAGTAAAATAAAATAAAAGAACGACAAACTAACGTGGAAATTTTATTTAATTTAATTTTATTTAATTCAAAAATTCTCAAAAAACCCTACATTGTCTTCATCGAAAATTGGTATATCCGATATAGTTCTTTTATGAGAATTTTTGCTTTCAATGACATCTAATTGATGATTCGTATCTCCAACTTGCAAAAGACGATTTTTTAAATCATTAAACCAAGATGGAAAACTGAAAAAAATAAGTGATAAGTCAGTGATCAATTAGAATAAAGAAAAAATTACGCCACTAAGAAATAAGAGTAAATTTTGATAAGATACATTATACTGGTGATTTTCACAAGTAGAACCACAGTATAATATATATAAACATTATAATACAATTTTATATATATATATATCATATATATAATATATATTAATATATTAATTATATATATATATAATATATTATATATAATAAGGATACATATTTGACATAATTATAGGAAACTTACTCATTTTCAAGAAATAATCGCTCCAGTATTAGAGAAATTTCAGTGGATAATGGAATATTTCGCTCAGACACCGATATATCCTCACACAAATGATAGAGTGAATGCCTACCAGATTCAGCCAACAAACTAATCAGACAAATGCCAACCGGCATATTAGGCATCTAAATTGTACAATGATGATAAAATAATAGAATGAAATAGAAAAAAAACGGTAATTAGAATAGAAAAACGTATGAAAAGCCATTTCTAATTATAATGACCTCGAAATTTGATCTCGAAAAACTAAAAAAAGTTTAAAAAATGATTTGAAGAGACGAACGGTAATTACCATAACGGTATGAAAAGTGTTTCAATTATTTCACTTAATAATAATGTTGTTCCTTCTTCAGGGAAAGTGCAGGGGAAAAAAATAGAAAAAAAAGTAAAAAAAACACAGAAACCTACTCTTACCTGCTCTTTGCTAAATCTCTCGTTCATAGAAAGATATTGGATCGAAATACGGCAAGTTGTCGGATTTAAAAGCATTACTGCAAAAACCTGAAATAATTTTTAAGCAAATATTTTCGCAAAAGCCGACAATTCAGCATTCTTTAAAACAAAGAAAATTATTCGCTATGGTGGAAATATAATGGCAACATTTCAAAATTTGTAATTGTATTTGTAACTAGTTTGCATAAACTCAAATCAAACCTTTTTGATTTATCCATCTTAATATAGCCAAATATAATTTATAATCAACTATTATTTGCTTAAATATATTAGCTTATCGCATACGATGCACTGCTATATGTATGATCTTTTTATCCTCATAAAAAAATTATATTTTCCAAAGTAAACATTAAATCGAAAAATTTGAAATATGAGAATACCTGCAAAATCTTCGGCAGATCGTTGTGTTTCGCACAATCATTGAACCAATTTGCAGCCAAATTTTTCAATTCAGCTTTTTCGTAACTTACACTATCATCTGTCAAAATTCCAAGCAAAAACATAATAATTCTGCAATGAAATTGCAAAAATTCCAGAACCAACATATTTTGAATTGTAAATATAATTTATATTAATATAAATCTTCAGTGAATTCCAATATTCCAAATTTCTTTTCATTCTAATCCATCCAATTAATTTTAAATTTTTATTTATTCTTAAATTATGGAAAAATGGAGATCGTTAAATGGCAGACAATTTGCATCGACGGGCGCCATGTATGCTTCATAATTTCGTTTTATATGTCCAAATAAAATTAAAATTTTGTTTGAAATTGAACAAAAAGAAAATACTAAAAACTGAAACCTGAAAGCTGGAGAAGAGAAAAGAAGAGAAAAAAATATAAAATTTTATTCCAATTTAAATACAAAAATAAATTAAAACGAAGATAAAAATGATTTTGGAAAAATCAACATTTCTACATTTCTACACTTACACTTAGTATAGAGATGTCTTATGAGGTGGCAAATATCTCTTGCTTTGTTAAAAAGTTGCACAGATGGCATATTTTCATGTACTGCCAAATATTTTAGAATATTTTCAAGTTGCCCTAGTTAGAAGTTGACGTAACATTTCTAACGCAAGTTCTTGAAGATGAGAAAACAACCATCATGGATAGTACAATTACAAAACCATTTAATTTCAGGTCAGCCGATCGTCTTGAGATGAAATCTCTTAAAATTGAGTGGATAAACTTCCAAATCTAACTTGTCAGATATTTTCTGCCAAAATGATTTGTATATTGGAAAGCATCTGGCATTCTAGATTAAATGAGCGCCGAAAGAAATCTTTGTAACGAGTAAAATATTAAATTCCAAAAACCATATTATTATCCACCCACCCGTAATAATGTGGGCGGAAGGTCCGAATGTATTACGGATGAGGTACAGGAAGATTGGTACTTCTATTCCAAAAGATATCTGATAAAACTTCCTAATCTTACTGAACATTTTTTTAAGAGCCTTCACAATTACTGGTTAGACCCACTCCGCTGGCTTTTCACTCTAGATGCGGAGTATTCCTTTAGCGATAAAAGTCGCCAGCATTACCTGGATTTTTAAATAGGTTTATTCTTGTGGATGATGGAAGATCAGCATCCAAGCTCCGAATTGAGCAACAACTCATTGAGCTCTCCTACTCCAATCCTGTTGAATATGATGCAAATTTAATCAGAAATGATGAACACTTTATATTAATTATATAAGGAAAGATCTTATAGAAAATACGAATGAAGGCCAATTAAATGTTTAATTCTCCAATTTTTATTCTTTCTTATTTTGTCTGAATTTGTTAACCAAACGCTAAAAAATTACAATAGCTTTCTGTTAGGAAAATTAATGCATTATAATTTATTATAATTTGTTATAATTATAAATCTTGCATTTTCTGAAACATTTTTTTGCAACTTCTTTTTGGAAGAAAGCCAAAAATGGAACCGTAGCAGAAACCGAATGGATATCCTGTAAGCGCTAACTACCATCGAAAGTGAAATTTAAATGATATTAAAGGACCAAATCACTTCTTTCTTTCTATGAACGAATCTCATCATAATATTCAGTAAAATGAACCATAAATGAATAATAAAAATGAAAGCATATGGAGAAAAACCTGTTGAAAGGTTTGAACGACAATCCGGGATACGAATTATTGCTTATAGGAAATCGACTAATCGTCCACAATATACGGAATTTTCTAGCAGCTGCACCACTTACTGACTAGATGTATAAATTTTAATGAAACCAATTTAATATAAACAAATAGAAAAAAAAGATAGAATTTAAAGACAAAATAACCTTGTTCGAGCTCGTCAAATGAGCAATAATTAAATCTTCAACTTCACTGCTTGGTTCATTTATTTGACGCGAGTGCAATAATAACAAAATTTTGGCAGAAATTTCATTAAAAGAACTATCTAAAAACGCCCATGCAAACCGTGTTGCTTTCTGAAAACTCTTTTTACTATATTTATTAATAATTAAATTATTGTAAACCAAGTCTCCAGAAAAAAAAAAACTGGCAAAAAACTTTTAAAAAGAACCTGGAAAATTTCATCCTTTTCTATTTGATTAACATTCGACTCTGATAAAACAGATTTGAGAAGAACGGTAGTTGTTGCTTTAGATCTGCTGAAAATCCTATAGCTTGATCAAACATTACAAATGTGGAATGAAACTTCTGAAAACTTTTTGATTAAAAACGGAAAAAGGATTATAATGAACCTACTTATCCCTATCAGTGGCTACAACATCAAAAGGATCTTCCTTTCGATTAATCACTGAGTACTGTTCAAATAATGAAACGGTACGAGCATAAATATAAAAAAACAGATCAAATGCAACAGCGCGAGCGAAAAAATCATTAACATCTTGCAAACCATTTAATTCCCCATCTGTAAATGGATAATAATTTTTTATATAAGATTTAATATGCAATAATAAAAGATAATTTTTAAGATAATTTCCATAAGGAAATAAACACAAAGAGATTATGATTATAAAGATAGAGATTATTAAAGTGGTTTTCACATCTTTAACTTAAATCAATCAAAACAATCAAATATCTTGAATAAAAAATTAAGGAAAAACTGGATTCAAAATAGTATATAAAATACAATCAAAATTCAACGAACCTAATTTAAATTTCAACCATAAATCCAGAAATATAACATCGAAAAGGCCTTTGAGCCATTCTGGATAAATATGAGGTGATTTGTTGTTGTGTAAAGCTGAAACATTTTAATTATAGCATTAAATTTTCTAAAATCACCAAAGATCCATTTTAAAACTAAGAAACAAATACTAGATAAATACAAGATTTATTTGTAGATAGCGAGTAAATAGGAAAATCCGCAAATTCCATCTGCAACGTTGAAATCGCCAAAAACACCTTTAAACGAGCAACCGATCGATCAACACAATACCAAGAACATAGTTTAGCCAATAACCTCTGGCATTCCTTAAGAGAACTTTCAATTGTCCCTTGCTCTAAAAAACAGATCAATTGTTAAGATCAATTTTGATTGAAAAACTTGCAATAATAGAGGAAAATCTGATTTTTAAATTTAAAATAAGGTTTATAAATCTTTAATATTCGAGTGTTCAATCGTTCTGTCCAGATATTTAAAAAATGAAAAATGAAAATATTTCGGAAAAAAAAAATTCCAATAGCTGGTTGGAACCTATTAGACCATTTGTTTCTAGCGAAAAAATTCTCACCTTTATTTTGATTTTCATTTTCTAAGCTAATTTTTAATAAAAATTTGAGGAAATGAAATCAGCAAAAATATTTAAAAAAAAAACTTTGTAGAAATAATGAATATAAGAAAAAAACCTTTAACAACACTGGATAAAACTGATGACTCTGAATGAAAAGGTGAAGAATTTTTACTACCGTGCAAATCAATCTCATTCATACTATTCGATGTTCGAACTGTCCCTGTACAATAATTTATCATAAATAATTCGTTAAAATATTGCACTAAATCCATAAACTGAATTAAAACCAAAAAGCTTGTCTTCAGATTCTAAATTATGAAAAATTAATGGATTTTAACGAATCGAGATAAAAAGTTTAGTTCGACAAGCAGAAATTAACCTTCAAAATCAAGGATGCTGTGATTAATCTGAAAAAGAATGACCCGGGCGACTGAAATAAACGATAACAAGGAATTTATATCGATTTCAGATGCAACATTTTTCCTCAAATTTGACAGCAGAGATAATAGTAAAGAGGGTAAGTGAATTTCACGAATAGCACTATGAAAATCAAGCTCCACAATATTAAGGCAGAATAAAATAATCTGAAATCATTCAATAGAAAAAATCTACAATAATAAATTTTTAATAAAAATTATTGGCCTTAATTCCCTCATAATTTACAGTGAAAAAGCCTTGAATTCAATTATTATTAAATCATTCCAATTTTTCACCAATTTTTTTGGAATAAAGACTACCAATGGAAATTTCTGAAGTTCCTCAGTATTTCTTCGCCGAGCTTCATCTTTCAAATATAGTGTTTCATTTGTCATTAATAAAGAATCAGTAGTATTAACCAATACTTCAGGATTCAATAACCTAAAAAAAAATTGAATGATAACGAATAACGAATTTTGCAATTGTCGAGATCATTCTTCTGGAAAATTAACCCATATTCTGAAACTTTATAAATATTTTATGAACAATGGTTAAAAAAATGTGAATAATGAGCAATACCAATCCAACCTTTTAACCACAAGATATAAGTAACTTTAAGGAAATTATTATTTCTGAAGAAATGATGTAAACATTCTACAAAAAATTATATTTTGATGAGACGAACATTTCAAGACGATATGATAAAAAATTCCAGATGAAACCAATATCCAAAGAATTCAACAACAAGTTTAATACTTTCGCAAATTCATTCAGTCGTTTTGCCTAAATATTCAGATAGCAAAAGAATTAACAACATCGCCACACTTGAAAAAAGTGCAAAAGAAAACGAAGTAGGTTCTAAAAACCTGATATACCATAAGAAAAATAATAAGTTAGCCCACTTGATCTGATTCAGTATTATTTTTGGAAGATATCGTTGCTTCACTTCTATTTGAAAAGATTGAGGCTTGTTTCAAAAGAAGCTCGCGTCGTTTCCCGATTGTCATAGAATGAAGATAATAAACACTTGATTTTTTAATTTCATAATTGAGCATTTCCTTAAATTCAAAAAAATTTTAAATTTAAAATTGATTATCAGCCTACCAACTAGTTCATAATAAAGAAAAATTACATCAAAAGCAGATTTCAGCTGATCATCTTGTTCCGCAGAAAACATCAACAACATAGAAAGTGTTTCTTCCAAAACCAAGTTACCCAATTCAGGACGATCCAAAAAATAAAGCAGTAATCGACAAACTCTCACTTCGGTAAACTGTAGTTGCCGTTCCTTAAAAAATATTATTGTCGGAAAATATAAAAAGAAAAAAAATTGGCTGAGAGGTATCAAGAATCAATACAAAAATAATGCCACCAATTACCTACCACCGTTGAAAAAAATTGGCTCACAAACCTTTCCACCATCCCAATTAGCACTACTAACGGCGATTTCAACTGCGTTTAACCTCAGATATTCCTCAATAGCATCCTTAATCAAAGGTAGCGCATATGTCCTTCAAATTCAATTTGATTTGTAATTTGAAAAATAATCAAATTGGGCAATGTATTTCAGATTTAACATTCAGCATTTACAAATTTAAAATAATAATTATAACATAATGAAAAGGAAAAGCACCTAAAAAATGTCGTGTCAAGCTGTTCATCAACGCCACCTATAGGTAAAGCACCAACTGATGAATCGCCAGATCGGTTAAGAATCCACTGATACAATCGACGGTTCAAACTCATATCTCGACGCAATATAACAAAAACACAGCGCCTCAAAAGCTGCAAAAAAATTCTAAAAAAAATTATAAAAGAAACAGATACTTCTACTGTTAAATTGTTGAAATTCGAATTCATTGAACATTGAAAAATAAAAAATGGTAGAGAATGATGGGGATAAAGAATGATAAAAAAAAAATATGAAGTGCGACCTGGACGAAATCTTCACGCATAAGATAATCTGAATTAAGAGGAAAAGCTGCCGACAAAAAATCAAGCAAATGGCGCTGAACGAGAGCTGATCCATCATCGTCTGCCGTTGCGCAAAGTGCAGCAATCTCAAATAAAATGGATGCAAGTTCTCTATTTAAAAAATATCCTAGAAAAATGTTATATACAAATATATTGCAAATAATTTATACATATTATACATATAAATCACATGATTAAATACCATGTGATCAACATTATTGCCCATTATATATAACTGATCATCCATAGGTTTCCTCCTATCAAATTTTGCATTCACATAAATAAGAGCAGATAGACGAACTGATGGCGAACCAAGTATAGCTTCCCACAAACAAGCGAAGAAAGTTTCTGATCCAACAATATCTTGCACTTGATTTAGTAATAAAGAAGACCTGCAAGGACAATGAATTAAGTTAAAGCACTTGAAGACCAAAAAATAAGGAATCACTGGAATTCGAATTTAGTTAAATAAATATCAATATCAACCTTTCAAAAATATCAACCTTTCAAAAAACTCGGTTCCTTCTTCAAGACCCAAAAGAAGTGCTGTAATAAAACCCGGTAAAGAAGGTTTCAGATTTTCACCCAATGGCAATAAATATTGCTCAAAGATACTCAACAATTCAGATTTGACCTTAAAAATAGCAATAGTATTGAAAGAAAAAATAAAAACTTGCAATTAGGAATGAAAAGAAAATTAAAATTTACCATAAAATGACAAAATTAAGCTAAATGCAAAACTATATTAATCAAGCAGTTTAGGCAAACCTGGAAGAACCAGTTATTTTTCTTCCCAAATTAGGAAAAATATTTGAATCGTTCTAATAAAATTTCGATTAAATTTTAAACGGAAACCTTGATACCGCAATGGTCCATAAGCGGAAAAAGTCCAACAGAAAAAAGATAAAGTAGACGCGATAAATCCTTCTGACCTAAAATATCAAAAATTTGGCGATAAGTTTCCAGTGCTTTTAAATGTACACCATGTGGAAGAGCCGGATGAAGGCACTGTGAAAGACGCTTTGCAACTGTAATTGGCTTTGGAATATCGCCGAATTTTGCATTTGAATGAAAAACCTAAATTAATTTTTTCTTGAAATTAAAATAAATTCAAAATTGACTGAATTAAATCAAACAAAAAAGCAAAAACAAATCTTGTCAGAAATAAAAATCGAATCGAATATTTTAAGGAAAAATTATTTAAACAATTATTTCACACACTCGACTCAGTTTACCCAAAGCTGAAATGAGATCAGCCCATTCATTCGTCGTTTCGAATGCCTTTAAAGCTTTATCAACTGATGCAACGTAAGCTCGATATTTACTGCTGTTTACGAGAGCTGCTGCTTGTGCAGCATTAATTGCCGCATCTGAACCTCCTACTAACACTGAAGACATCTGAAAAGTTAAATGCATCATTTCATTTCATCGACAAGTCACACTTATATTCCTTATATAAATACAGCATAAATATACAAATATATATCTACATAGATAAACAAGAATATTAATGGAAATATGAAATTAATTTAAATTTTCCTAAGAAAAAAATATTTAACCACTATTAAAGAAATAAAAAAATTTTTCACCCAATTATTTGCCTTAAAATGTTATTACACTCGTTTATTAATATTTATTAAAAGTAATATTTCTCAGTTAAATTTGATAAATAATTGCCAAAATATCTCTTGTCTTAAACAATATCTTAAAGAAAATGCTATACTTGTAACTAAACTTAATTAATTAAGAAAATATGGAGGAAGTGTAATGGTCCAATGGGCCGCAGCTCCCATTTCGGAGCGTCGACTCTGGGACAAAAGTAAACCTATTTGAAAATACGAGTTGTCCTGGCGCCAATCCACTTTTTTTTATCGCAAAATGACTTCCAGGCAAAATTGCCCGACTTGACGAGCAAGCGCAATAAATCTAGCCAGAAATGGTGGAAGCTCTACGAAAAAAATTTTATGAACTATAATTATGCAATAAATATAATTATACAAACATACATAATTAAAAATAGGAAAAGGCTTTGAATTAGGCCGAATTTAGATATAAGAAATGTAAATATAAATAAAAGTCATACCTGCAAAACTTCATAAAACGGATTAAAAAACCGATTCCCCAAATAAAATAAATGAAAGGAATATCACAACTTTTCTTCAGATCAACTGGAAATTAATTACTAAGCATTAATTTCTTATCACACAATAGATTTCTTAATTCCTTATCACTCAACGTATAAATGATCTTGCTTATCATAAGAAAGACGATTTTACATCTATGCTTGCTTTCGCTCTAAGTCAGTTCAGCAAAAATGGAACGAAGGTGGTTGAACAATAAGAATTTCTTTTTATTCCCAAAGTATCGACAAATCATCCAAAACTGACGAAAATTTTCCCCAAAAATTGCTAAAAAAAAAAAAGGAACTCTCGAAAAATTTTGACTGAACAGTGTTGCCGATTAACGAAAATCAATTTATTCTGCAATAATTTAGCAAAATTTAATAAAAGGCAAAAGCCAACATTCATAATAATCTTGTTTTCGTGTCAAGACTATTAAAAACATTAACAGCTAAATTTCTTTTAATTAGGACGAACGCGAACCGATTCGAATATTTTTCGAAAATTTCTTAAAATAATCGTAACAAAAATTTAATCCATTTATTTTTATTATCATCGTTGTAATTGTAATTCAGCACTCGTGAAATATTTATAAATTGGCTCGGAAGGTTTTGAAGAACCACTGCGATAAAATGGAAAGGGCGAAAAAAATGACCGGAAGTTCTTGCTCTCTACCCCCTTGCAAAATCCATACCATTTCCACATTTACCTTAACTTTATTAACTTTTCCCGTTTGTCAAAGGACGTCAAAATAAGAGTTTGTATATGAAGAATAGGACAAGGTCAACGTTAAATATACGTCCTAATTAGATTTAATCAGTTTGTTTCGCAGCATTGGTCAGTAGGCCATAATGACCTTCAGCAATGCAGCCTCATTCGAAATTTCTCCTCGAATCTATTCGTTAATATCGCAAATCATATAGAGAAACAGAGAAAGCGAATCATATATATCGTAAAAATTATCAAGGACGCGTCTTAAGATAACTCATAAGATATATATCCGGAAGAAATTCTTCTCGTTTTTTTTTGCACACCTTCGCTTTTTTGAGGAAATAATTAATGGCACCATTTTTTCCGCTTCTTAAAAAGGATAGGATAGTCGAGGAGAAGGCCGCCTTGATTAAAATTTAAAGCATCATAGGTTCGATTGTTCGACGGAAATAAACAAGTAATTAAAAGCGAAGTCCAGTTGTTGCTGGGAACCATCCGTATTTCTATCCACTAGTGACTATTTTGCGAAAAGGATTTCACTGGCCTTACAGCCGGTTTAACCAGAAATAGAGAATGCTATTGGAGGAAAAAGAAATTGGTTTTGCCAAAACTGGATCGTGGATCGTGGAAAAGTGATTTTATCAGACAAGACAATGAAACGGCAAGAAAATAGCTGTTTCAGAACAATTTTAAAGTTTTAAAAATTCGACTGTAATGGCGAGCGAAAGATCCGATGGAATTTTTTCTCAGATCGGTTCAAAAAAAGGAATTTTTTGTTTGAATCATATCACCTTTACCAGTTTCAATAGAAGAACGAACAATTTCTGGCTTATTCAAATACAAAGAATCGCCTTTACTACAAAATTTATTTTTCTCCTCGAAAAAGATACAATGCAGTATGAGACAAACTTATTCTCTTTCGAAGGGAACTTAATATTGAGGATAAAAAACAAACAGTCGATTCTCAAAATCATTACAATTGTTTTATTCGTCTTCAAAATTAACCGAATATATAATGATAATTTTAATTGATATCAAAATTATAAGCGAAATTTTAATAGCAATAAAATTATATTAGTAATATCCAATATGATCATAATTTGGCTGAAAAAGCAAGTATCGCATAATTTTTTCCTCGATTTTTAATTTTCAGCTTATAAAAAGAACAAATTTTTATGAATCCGAAAGGTCGAATGATTATTTTGTGTATCTTAAAGATAAAGATAAATGATAGACTTTTACTTCCATTAAAGATATATATATTTCAATAAATTAATAGATTTTTATGAAATAATTCGAAAGTCTAAAAAAAGTCTGGAAATTTTAAAAAATATTCATTTAAAAATAGAAAAAAAAAGATAATATAAAAGAGATATAAAGAATCATTTTTTATACATCTATCCTTATTTACTTATTTGTGAAATGAAATTATATTGTTGTAAACTTGTAAATTTCTTTGGCTATTAGAGGAGAAGTCGTGCAGATCATCCGTATAATCTATAGAATCTCCCATCGCAATAAAATTTTCAACTCATATCAGCCAACTGAAGCCGCTTTAATTATCATGGCTTACTTTTCTTGCTAATGAAGCCTTAATGAACTATATGCATAAGTAAAAATCCAAATAAGTTTCTGTGGCAAATAGCAAATAGTTCATAAAGCATAATTTAATAGAAACTATATAAAATACTAAAAAGAAATTCGTTTATAAGCCAGCAAATAACCGAATACCGAATACCGAAAAATAAATTCAATTCAAAAAATTCCAAGCTCTTGAAACCATATTGCTATGAATAAACAGATCATGACGAATAATGGTACACCGATTGCTGCTGCTATAATGGCTCCCAATGGCACTAAAAGTTTTTCATATAAAAAAATGATTTCTGGTTTTCCATTGGCTATTTGGCTGCTTTCATATTTCATATTAAATATAAATAATATAAATATTAAGCAAACCATTCTTTTTTTGACGTTGGTATGTGTGTGTATATACTGAGCGAGGTTGAATTTCGTATGGTATTCGATATTCCTACAATTTGATATGCATTTTGAAAAGAAATAAAAAAAATTATTTATTAAAATATGAAAATAACACATAATTATAAAATAAGATTGAAATTTCAAAAAAATACGTAAGTAATGGGTTCATTTCCTTTGATCGGGTTGAACGGGTGCTTTAAATTCTTTCCTTTTTCATAAATTTGATAAGTGTCCTCTGATGATAAGAACTGAGGCAGAATGGTTTGTCTGAAAGGGAAATATTAGATCGATGATAATTGTCACAGAACGTTATTATTCTTATTCTGAGGATCAAATAGCATTTTTTATCGCTCAGTTATTGCTCTCAGCGAAAAATAAATCCGCGTATTTACTGGAACCATTCAAACATGAAATATGCTCTTGAAAGAAAAAAAAAATGGAAATGAAATATTATATGAAAGCAATCCACGAAACCATATATTTCAAAATATTAGCAATATTAAACGTAAGAAAACCAATTTCATATTTTTTAATTTTATATATGTATATAAATTATTTTTGACGACATTTCATTCAAGCATTATTTGCGATTAACTATTTCCAACTTTTTAGATAGAAATTTTTGCATTGCAACGAGAAGAATCATAGATCCGATCCTCATCCCTATATCAAATCTACAGTGGTGTCCAGATGGTACTGATAAACGGCCTGTGCCTCTATTGGCAGGTGATCGATTCTCTGGCGCAGAAATCAGATTATAACAGCCAATGCATCCAACCAAACGGAAATGGTGAGTACTAGAAAAAATGTGCAAAAAAAAACTTACTTACTCACCATATTTTCTTTTTAGTCTTCATGAAAAATGCTGAAAATAATAATAATTTTATTAGTGCATATCGATATTTTTCATATTTTTTTCAGTTTTTCGTGAATTTTCTTTCTCTCACCCAATGCATAATTTCATTCAAAAAAGCTTACAGAAATTTTACTAAAAAATAAAAAAATGGAAAACGAGAAAGCGCACTGCATGGAAATATATGCAAATATATGCAACTGATGGAATGCAAGTAATTGAAAGAAACGCAACGATAATTATATTTGGAAAGGATCTATTGCGATATTAAAACGATAAACGTGAAAAACTTATAAAATTCTAATTAAAAATAGGAGAATTAAGAAACTTGATTAACCTTTTCAAGTAATGTATGTATTTTTGTAACTTTTCACCAAATTTCCATCAGATTATTCAGGCGAAATTTGTCTTCTACTAATTCTATACCTACAGATTGTAATTTATATGTATTTATTCAAAACGAATCCCCTACGGATGGTATGGGTCGCCCACAACCTCGAATCCTCTACCACAGGCCTAGGAGAATGTGAAGCAGATAAGCTTATGATTTTTAGTGAACCGTATTGATTCAAGACGTGTTTGAATTCTAGGCTAGGTGGTCTTGAAATTGTAGAAGATAGAAAATTTCAGAATTTCTTTCAGGTTTCACCCGCTGACCGGAAAAGTGGCTGCGATCTGAACTATCCTCGTTACACTCCAGATTAATCGCTTGCCAATCAATCATGTTATTAAAATTTCTATGAAAATGAGATCTAATGGCTTGAAAAAAAACTAACTAAAATCCATTTGAAAAACGAACTTATGAACCTAACGTGTCATTAACAAATATGTGCAGAGGCTATGCGTCATAGTTGATGATAAGTGTTAGTAATAAAATCATACAACTAGCCATCAAAGATTAATCGATTTTGGGAAGAAATTGATGAATAACGAGATTAGTTCCGTGCTATCGATATGAAATAACCTGGTTTTAATGCATTTATCTGGTTTCCCTCTAGCAATCACTGTTGTTGTTTTTTTTTAGATTTTTGAAATTCAAGGGCATGGCTCGTAAGCTATAAGCAGCTCATCTGCCCTATTTATAAGTATAAAAGAAATGAAGAAAGCGAAAAAAAAGCGGAAAATAATTTGCCGAGGAATTTCAACTTGTTTGTTTTTACTATCGATGGCAATCTTGTTTTCTTATCGGAAAATTGCAAATTTTCCTTTTGTCCATTTAAAAGAAAGAATGGAATTTTCATGCTCCCTGGTTCGACAAAAAGTTTTTATTATTTTAGTATAGTATTTTTAATGTTTATAAACAATTTATTCACACTTCATCTCCATTTTTTAATGGAAAACATCTATTTTTTATTTTAATTCCTATAATTTCTATATTTGCTTGCCAATTACATGTTAAGATTTATAAAAACTTGCTTGCAAAAGCCAAATGTTTCCCTAAAATCTAATTGAACGAAACTATTTAAATTTATATTTTTAAATTCTTAAATTCAAATTTTTGTGAATATATTTTGTTTATAAAAAATTTATATGAACTATTGAATAAGATTATTGGCTGTGGGACCGGAGGGTTAAGTGGCTTGTTTCGACTGAGGCTGCGGATTGTGGATTCGATTCCCTTTAGTTTACTAAAGAAGCTAACCAATAGAGATAAAATAGCGATGAGGCCTTTTAATTTTTTAGCAAAAAAATCTTACTAATCAGTCGAGCCAACCAAATGAGAAATCGGAATGACGCTGTTAAAAGAAAAAAACCTAATAAAACTATCTATAATTTTTCTCCTTTAATTTCCTTACTTATTTATAACTTATAACTTTATCAATTCAAATATATTTATTCTATAAATATAAAATTCATACAATATATACAAAGAATATACAAAGAAAAAAATTCATTATCATTTAAATTATACCTAGATAAATCTAGATTATATCTAGATTATTTCATTAAATTCCAGACTGTGCTTTAAATAGGAGTGAATTTGTCATCACAAAATCCGAGTGGACAACTAATAGAATGAATCAGAAATGGTGAGTATTAACCATTTGTTTTTATAAGATTACTAAAAAAGATTTTTTTTAAATGATAAATGAAGAAAATTAATGATAATAATAATTAATAAAAATAATTTTGAAGCGATTTTCGACAAAGAATTATAAAATTCTTTATTGCAGAAAAAATCTCAATATTAGCTGAAATAATAATTATATAAAGTCCAAAAAAATAATGATAACAATTATCGTTCTCGTCGAAAGGCAATGAGAAAGGGATCGATGATAGTAGAAAAACATAAATAAATTCAGAGGAGGAGCTATTGTAGCGAACGAAGAGCCCTACACGGCGAGAAGAAGGAAAACTGGTTTTATTCATTTATGATTAAAATTTAAATGACTAACCATGTCCTTTCCTAAATACATTATTAATTATTAAACATTGAAAACCAAAAATACATCGCTTTACTGAATTTCGAAAAACTGGAATGATTTTCTAATTTTTAGTGATGGAGGAAAGAGGCAGAAAAAACAAATGAAATCACAATTAAAACCTAAAATATTTATTTAGATTTTCAGAAACATTTTTCAAAAGACAAAACGTACTAATAGACGAGTTATGTGCTCAAGCGATTTCCCAAGTACCTATATTTCATTTTCATCACAGATGGATTCCCAGCACTACTCGGATTTCACTTTTAATTATACTTTTATACTACCAATGAGATAAAAGTTGCACCTATGATGACTAAACCTTAATCAGAACAGTACTTAACCATCTCGATCATTAGTTGCGTTAGCAGTTTATTTAATATTCATAATAGCTAAGTGCGTAAAATGAAATAATAAGCGGATTCAGCAACAATATTCGAAATATTGTATATATTTAGTATTCATTCCAATATATGCGCTGGTTTCCAAGGATACATTTTAATTCACAACAAGCAATTTCAATTCATAATGTTCTAAAGATTATTAATAAAAATTATCACAATAAGCGAATTTTCATTGATTAATACCAACTGTACACAATATTTTATCGCAACAATTGTGAACCTGATGCATAGTCGCATGGAACCGCACTTTTTGCCAAAATTTTTCATCTGCCTTATTTTTTCTATCTTTTCATAATATTTGGGTTAAATGACTAACCATGTCCTTTCCTAAATACATTATTTTTTACATCATAAGCCATATTAAAATATTCAAAATGAAAGAGAACTGAAAGGAAACTAACAAATATTTGAATTACTTGATAGATGCAGACAATGCAGACCAACCAATACCTGATACGACTAAGAGAAATTTTAAAGCCTAGTTATATGTATGGGCGTAGACAAGGGATGAAGTTATTTATTTAAATATGACATTAGCTCAGAAAACATTAGCTCATTTTAAAAATAAGATCAAATAAGATTTCAGTGCACCAATAAAAAGTAAATGTTTTTATGCCTATTTGAAATTTTTAACAAAATTTTTTAACATTTTAAAAACATTTAAAATCATTGAAATGGCAATTCTTTACACGTTTATGAAACAAAATTATGATACAATTTTCGCTATAAAAATAAAAAAGAAACAAATGAAGTCGAAACAAATGAAGTCTGTCTATAAAAAGCGGCGCTAACCAACACTGACTTGAGCTGTTAGAAGAATTATTTGCTGGAATCATCAATTCATCGGTAATTGAACCCGGTTAACTCGGTAAGTAAACCCTCAAAGCATGATGGCCAAATGGCCAAATCTTAATGGCCAAAAAAAACGAAAAAAATAATTTTAAATCTCCCTCTTACTTTCGACCAAAAACAGTGAAAATTTTTAGATTCATATTAAATAAGATTTAGAATTCGCATCAAATTAAGGGGAACTATGTATAATGAAAATTCTTGAAATATTTAAATGGCTTAGAGGTTAAAATATTCCTACAAATATTATATTTTTTAAAATAAAGTTGGGAAAATCTTATATATTTCTCGTGAATTTCTGCATTAATTAATTTTTCTAATTTCGGACTTTTCTATTCTAATTTCTTCAAAATTTTTGTTCCTTAATTCGATTATTCCATGTATATGTGTAGTTGATTGTCCATCGAATCCATCTTCGTTCAAATACCATTTACATTAATAATATTATTAAGAGCGCTATCTTCGATGGTTAGGTTACGTTCTCCGTCATCCACTACAGGAGTTGACGCATATTTCATTACTTACTAAACTGTGAAGGGTGGTGTCAAAAGAGAGATGGACCAATCAAGACCTGGAGTGATACGATTAGAAAATATTGTGAACGTATAGGTGGACTAGCAATATATGGGCTTAGATGATGGAAAAAGGAATGGCTTCTATTACTGTCGACGATGGTATCAGACCATGCCGTTTGGAAATGTCCTACTCTTATAGACGCTGGAGCCAGCCTAACCAGTAATGATGAGAGCTATTAGAAGAAGTTGATCGTATATTAAATTAAATTCGCCAAAGAACCTGTCACCTGAGCTAATAAAAATATATTCCCCTTCCGAACATCTTAGAAAATGCCACATGCAACAAAGAAAAGTTAGAATCAAATAAATCAAAACACCTAAGTCCAACTCTATAATCCTTTCTCATATTTTTCTTCATTTATTACAATCTTTAAACAAAAAAGAAAATAGAAAAATTCCTTCTCAATTTCTCGATTTATTGATTCTAATCCTACGAAAATTATCGAACTAAGGAAAATTCTTAAATAAAGCTGAAATTTTCCTCTTTTATTTTTTGAAGAAAAATCATAAAACTGATCAAATAAGATTTCAGTGCACCAATAAAAAGTAAATGTTTTTATGCCTATTTGAAATTTTTAACAAAATTTTTTAACATTTTGAAAACATTTAAAATCATTGAAATGGCAATTCTTTACACGTTTATGAAACAAAATTATGATACAATTTTTGCTATAAAAATAAAAAAGAAACAAATGAAGTCGAAAACTTTATGAAAATCACATAATAATATCAATATCAAAATATGGTTCAAAAAGTTGGAAAATTTATGAACTACGATTCATGATAAGAAATAATAATAATGATAATAAAAAGGAAAATGATGCAATATCAGGTGCAAACAGTATAGTACAGTATCAATTACAGTAAAACTGAGTTGAAGAAAAAGATCAAGTGTTGGAAAGTAATACTAATAAGAGAATATATTTTCTTAAAGACTATTATGGATTCCATAGCATAGGAAAATAAGAAACCAAATGGGAGCATTAGATTTTTATTTTATAAAAGCCAAACTAGTTAATAGAAAAAAAATAGAACCACAACATCATTATGATAAGGCATACGTTGGTGTAAAAAAATGAAAAAATGCTAAGTTTGAATAAATAAATCTCACTGATACACAATTTTTATTTATATGCACAAACTGATGATAAAGTTTGATCAGTAAATTTTCATTTCGCAATTCTTTACATGTCTATGAAACAAAAAGAGTTTGCAGCATATGAAAAGCACCAAACAGAAAACGGAAATTAATAATTTAGAGATTATCGAATCTATTAAAAAATTCCCAATAGTGATTTTATGATAATAGGAGAGGTATTTAAATAAAAAAGTGGTTTGAAAAAATGGTTTGATAAACCAAAAATTGCAAAAATTTAGAAGAGATCTAAAATAATTTTATTATATGCGCTTCTATATTTTTCTGGCGATATCCTTTGTTTCGATAATATTATTGGTTGGATAAAATGAATCTGAAAATTACTTTTTATAACAGCTATTAATAGACAAATTTTTCGGAATGCGATATAAGTGATAAGATTCAGTAAATCAGCGAGATTGGGATCAAAAAGAGACAAAGATTGGCTCATTGGGTCATAGCTCATTTCAGAATGGCAATCCGACGTTCTATTCCAAGCGGGAGTAAACCTATTTTCAAAAAATCAGGGAAATGCAGGCGATTCACTTTTATATTTGTCATCAAGACAAAATTTTTGTTTTCATACTCCAGCTGAGCAAGCCTAACCAGAATGGTGAGGTTTTTAGAAAAAATACTAGTAGATTTGATAGATTTGACGATCACGGTATTCTATCAAAAATTATCCGACAGTTCTCAGGTTTACGTTTATTACGAGCCACATTACCAATTTTGTGAGACCTATATTATATTAGGTTGGATTTCTGTTCTATAATATGTCGCAATGTTCAATTAATTGAATTATACCTCCCGATGGTTGAAATTTTAAATTTTGTACTAATCGTTTAAAAATATGTGCAGAGCAGAATACGCGCATTGACATTACGGGACGCCTTATTCTTACAACAAGTGCAGTCAACCTAGCGATTAATGAATGGAGGTGAGAGGGTGAGGGATAAAAGAGGGGTGCTCGAAAACAAAAAGACAAATGGGTTTTGACAAATTTAATAGGTTCCATCAAAAGCAGAGTTTTTCCAACAAATCCTAGAAAAATATTTTGAAGAATTAAATAGGAAATTAACTATCCCTATTTAATTATTTTTTTTTGATTTTGCTGATATTAAGATGAAGATATAACGAAAAGGTGTAAAGGAATCACCATGTGGGGACTCACGTTATTCGAAATTTACCGAAGCTTCTTTTCATTTTCTTAATAAAAATCATGACATAACACTAAGTCAGGTTCAATCATTCACTCATTCACTCTTCTTTCCATTTCCTCACTTAATTTTTTTTCGAGCTGATCTACTCATTTTTTTTTTCAGATTCATCGATACTTCCAAATAATTTGTCTCACTCGTATTTTGAATATCTTATGTTGGTTTGATAATATCTTATGTTTGCTAAAATATTAATACAATCAGCACCGAATACTTGTTGACTCTCATTGTAATAATGTCATTCTTGCGTTCCTTGTGGTTTGCTGAGACCGAATGAAGCGCATTATTGATGATGTCCTCCAGCATTATTCATTATTACTTGTATCTTTCTATTATTACCTGTGGCTGTTTATTATTAAAGATCCTTCCTATCATTATTACCTATTGTTATCAGCTTTTTTAACTGAGAATTCATCAGAGCCATATATTTTATTTTTGTTACTTGCAGTGTTTTCTAAATTATTGCAGAAATTATATGGTTTAGTATGAATCAAACTGTTTTATCGCTATTTTTCATGAAAACTTTAATTTTTTTAAATTTATTTTCTGTATTATTTCTGCATTTCTGTATTTATTTCACCTTAACTTTGCGTTACATCATATTTTACTACTTTATAATATTCTACTATTTCATAATATTAAAATTTAATGATTAATTTAATGATAGAATTGTTTTTTCCATGACTGACTTATTGGTAGCATTTCCTCCATTTTATCGGAGCATTAATATTTTTCATTTTGCATTAAACTTGCTTATTTTATATTTTATGGAAGAAAGATTACAAAAGAATTTAATAACAACTTACCATGGTGAATGGCATAATTTTGATTCCGTAGATGTTTCCCACTAAAAAACAAAAATATTTCTGGTAATATTTGATATACCGAAAAATTTTAAAAAAAAATCGAAATAAGACCAATTAGTTCGAGTGCAAATTTAAATTTTAGCTATTTACTTTAAGTTATTAGAATCGAATTAGCCTATTAAAATTGAATTGATATCAAAAATTTTTTTCTACAGTGGTACCATCAACTTTTTTTTGACTTCAAAAGGTTCTTTTTTTAATTCTATGCTTTCTTCGCTATGCTGAAGAATTTTCAAATATTAAGATTTTTATACTATATTATTTAAAATTTTTATATTATATTTTTACATAATATTTAAAATATTAAAAAAATTTTATTCGTAAAATTCTTCAATTAATTTTTTACCAGAGGCTCAAGTTCGCTTAACGTTTTTTCCGATCTTTCATATTGTGTGTTCACTGCATCCACTTTAAACTTGAACATTTCGATTTGGCAATTATATGCTTTTGGTGTTAATTTGATGATAGTGTGAAGTGGCACATTGAGGTAGGGAAGTTCTGAGCGATTTTTATTGTCAAAATATGCCAATATACATCGAAGTATAGCCTGACAATTGGCGAAAAAATGAATTTTCAAGAGAAAAGACCCACAAATAAGTCAATTCTAATTTTTAACGTCAAAAAACAATAAAACTGTAAATATGAAATTATAAATAAATATAACATTCACCTGATGAGAAACAACGAGTACATTACTTTGTCGTTCCAACTCCATAATAACGGGTTCCAGGCGAGCCACCAAATCTTCATAACTCTGAAATGAAGTAAAACTTCCGACAGAAACAAATATTTTCGACAAATTTTAAGAAATATAGTATTAAAAGAGTTCTATAACCATATTTAGATACCTCTCCTGAAGGATAACGATAATGATATTTATCACGATCACGTTCAGCAAATTGTCTAGGGTATCTCCATTTAAAATCTTCGTAGGTCAGTCCTTCACAAATCCCCTATAAATTTTTTTTTAGCACTTCATTTTTAGGCAAGAATTCAGTTGTTGATAAAAATAAAAAGCATTACCGCGTCGATTTCATCAAGAACCTTTAAATATTCGACATGCGCAGCTAAGGAACTAAGTTCTTGCGCTGTTTGTACAGCACGAATCTTCTGTGAACTCCAAATTCTCAAATCGCCCGGAATGTTCTCGTACTAGAAGTTTTTACACTTACAATATAAGCTTTAAAATTATGAAAGCAAAATTATTCATAACTTCCATAACTTTTTGTTAAATGAACTAAAAATTGAATGTTCTTTGATAATTTTTGAAGGATTTTTGGATTTCTCAAAAACCATAAAAGGTGGCTTCAACCATAAAAATAGTAGCGATATATAATTTTACAAAGATAATTTAAAAAAAGAACTTTAAAATATTCGTGAAGTTTCCTAGCATATTTGTGACCATTTTCGCTTAATGGGCTATCGCCACCAAGTCGACCAAAACGATTATATTCGCTTTCTCCATGCTAAAAATTCTGAAAAATGACTACTTGGGAAAAGCAACTTAGTTTAGAAAGTACTCCTAGCTTAGGAAAAATCTGTATGGCGCTGGCAGCTTATGAGTACTATCGACAAGCGAATCTATATTTCTCTCTGGAAATGTTTAGTCGATCCAACAAGCCAGTAAAACGACTTTAACCAAAAATGGTAAATGTTTTTCACTTCTATTAAGATTATTATTTGCAGTATATCGTTCTTCGAAAATTTATCCAAATTTTTTGTAAATTGCTTTATTTTCGTAATCCTTTTTCGAATACTCACTATTTAAAATCCAGTCTTACCATTTGATTTTTTTAAAAAAGGACGCTAAATTTTAGAAAAAATTCTGGAATTTAATAAGAACGATTTTTAAATAAATTCATATCATAAGACATACACGAGTTAGATAGATTGAACGAGGTAGAAGATGAATATTCATAAGGAAATAAACGACGCGACTTTGAACATGACCATTAACATTATGCACAAAAAATGACCGACCCGCATTAATAAGCTTGATGAACGAAAGATCGTCATCGATTTCTTCATCAATTGGTTCATACTAAATTGTTTTACGTGAAAAGAGGTCCGAAAATTGTCCTAAAATCAGTAAGCAATTTTCAATTTTTCTAATACCTAATTTTAAACTTATGTTCTGAGAATTTGCCACCGCCAATCATAAATATTTCAGTTGGACCAAATTCTAGTCGCATAAAATCTAATTTTTTTAAGGAATTTCTTTACAATCTTTTCAGAAAAAATTTTTGAATTCTTATTTCAAACTCTATTAATTATTTAAAAATAAATGTGGGAATATTTGAATACGATTTACTTGAAGTTTATAATTTTCAATTCGTTTTAAGAAATCCTCCTTGGCTTCCTCTTCAGACATGTGACCTTTATAATCAGGAGAATTAACTTTCACTTCCTACAAGGAAACATTTGTGAAATAAATGCTTTTGCTTTTACTAAAAACATCGTAGATTTGCTCTAAATAGATTTTCGTCGCTTGAAAAATAAATAATAGTCAATTATTCAGTTTTAAAATTTATGAAATTTATGTCATTAATCAGGCAGTGCTAAGGAGTTGCTTGTATTTTATCCCAAAAATAGCTCTCTCGCCTTGTTATAATAGACAATAGCAGTAAAGCCAGTAAGAATTGATATATTAGAATAATGATTACAGTGATATTAGCGTTGATTATCTCCGGATCATCACAAATGCTTTCAATAAAGAAGATTCTAAATGCGGGTTTGAAACGTTCACTATGGCAGAAGTTCACTAACCATCGTCGCCTTTCTCTTGTCGTATTCGTAGCATCAAAGATCTATAATTTATACGTTTATAAATGTAAATTTCATGCCAAAATTAATAAAAATAAAAAAACAAAACATTAAAAACATTAACATTAACATGAATTGGTATAAATCCTCGTTTTTTCTTAATTTGCGAAAGTGCCTAAATGGCCAGAAAAAATAAAGGACATACCGCTACTTCACCTTCTTTATTTGCTAAATAATCTCCCATATCTTCCATTGCAAAGTTCGCACACTCACTGAAAATTATTGATAAAATTTGGCAAATAAACGAAAAACAATAAAAAATAAATTAATAAAAAGAATATTTCAAAGAATTTATTTCAAATATTGAACAACGAACTCTCGAATTTTGATCCCTTTTGCATTGAATGGACTAAAAAATTCACTTTCACCTTCTTCTCCTAGGTTACAAGCTTTTCTACGATATTCACCAACATTGAAAGCTGCAATGTTCAAAGATAAATTTGATTTAAGGGAATCTCTTTCAAGAATCTCTAATCTCTTGGAATTAAATTAAATTTAGTCACTCTTAAAATTTGTAGGAAATTTCCTGAAAAAAAACTATTGTATCAGAATGATCACAAGGATCACAAGGAATTCCGTAAGAAAAAGCTAGCAACATTGAAATTTGGTTGCTTATTTCATGGCCAATTCCATAAAACGAAAAAAAAAACGAGCCTCGTGTCTTGATACCAATCCAGTTCAAATAACGACATAGTTTGTGTGAGATGTATGTTTTGCCTCGAGCAGGTAAACCAACAAGAGCAATCACATTTGGTACTCGCACCTGTTCTCGAGATGAATCTATAAATTATCTTATCTTATCAAAGTATAATATGAAATAATATTTATTATCTTAAAATATCAATAAAAGTCCATAAAAATTACCAAAAATTTCCCCAAGAAAGAAACGAACTATCGGCGTGATTGCCATTTTCTTACGACAATTAATATTGAAATCAGTTAAATAGGGTTTAAATCTCACTTTCACTTTCAGCTTACACAAGGTCATTTTTTGATAAAAAGGTCTTCTTTATGAAGGGTCAAGACAGGGTCAAATGGTGACCTGTTTAGTAAATACCTATATTATCGGCTAATAAGCCGAATGTTTATCAAGTAATCCTGTTTAATAAAATAATTTTTCTATACTTCCTTATTTTTATGAAAACTTTTCAATTTCCAAGCGTCTTCATTTTTCTTTCCATTAAAATTTTTTTCTTTTAATAAAAAGAAAATGAAAAAATTAAAAAAATAAAGACCATTGTAATCGTAGTTGTAATGTTTCATCTTTCTTTTTTATTATTCGTCGTCCAAACAACAAAAATAAAAATTTCAATTTTAAGTAATTCGCATCAAAAGTTAGTTTTCCAAATTATTTACAAATAGTGCTGCTGGAAGGTAATTTATTATATTAGTAATAATAACAATAATAGTAATAAAAGTATTAGTAAAACAGTGCGCGATTAAGAGATAAGTGATTTCTAGAAAAAACTGCTTATATGCATGTATCATTAATTTAGTTCAAAAAAATTTTACTTTAAAGAATAAAAAATTGAGGAAAATGATTTGGAAAAATGGTGAACAATAATGACAGAGGATAATGAGAGGAGATATTATTAACTGATTTAAACTTTTCATTTGATCAATTTCAATAAACGAGAGAAAAAAGTCAAAAAGATGCTTTTTAACCACATATTTGGTCCATCATACCTTGTTTTTTCTGATAGTTAAATCATAATATAAATATGTTTGACTGTAACTACAAGGATTTTATCAAATTGTTTATTTTTATTTATTCATTTATGCTAATAAAGCCAATTAAACCATATAATTCATCTAAAACGCAGTATGATTAGACCGAACTCTTCAAAATCGTATTTATTTTATATAGAAAATATGAAAGCGTGATAAGAATGATATTCTTTTGGAATAAACTTACTGTTAAAATTCAGATAGTGATAAGAGCATCTCAGGTGGATTCTAGTTCTTGCTCTACAGCCAAACTAGAAATATGTGCCATTAGCAAAAAATGCGAACAAATGATTACATAAATTCTCGATTTTACAATAAATTATTAAATAAATTATTACATTTTAGAAATTCAAAAATCAAAGACGTCTAATAAAATTGCTTTTCTATAATATCAGCAGTTTATGGGGATCAGCAATCAAAAATGGGTCTGAAGTCAAGATTAAATGAATTACGGTATATATATGCAGTATGGGCTTATCTCCAGATATCGTAACTTATAGCAATATGATGATATATTGCTTGCACTATTTATTTAAAGCAGCACAATGAAAAATTCGGTCAGCAGAGAGATCCAACTATAATCCAGAGATCCATTCAATCCACAAGTGATTCTCTAGTGAAGGTACCTAATCTCAATAATAGCCAGCAGCTGAACCAGAAACGGCGAATGTCAATCATAAATTAATCATTAGAAACTTTTTAAATTAATATTTAATATTTATTGAAAACCAGCCAAGCAGGGCGCAAACGCCATGTGCTTGTATTAATAACATCAGTTAAAATAACAAATAATAAGAATTAATGATAAAAACAAAATAATAATAAAATAAAATAAACAATAAACAAAAGATGAAATAAAGAGGATATTGCAAAATAATAAAATATAGTACAATTCGAAATAACTATAATCGGATGGTAAAAATCGCGATTTCACACTTCTTGCATGATGTGAATAATATCATAAATTATATTATCTATTCTTTTTTTAAAGATAGCATAGATAGCTAGGGATGGCGCACAAGCTATGTCATTCGGTAATTTATTCCAGAAATTAAAATTACGAATAAAGAAATCATAAGTCCTTAGTTTGGTTTTACACATAGATTTTAGTAATTTTAGCCCATTAGTTCTTGTTGGATTTAAATTTAACCTAAAATTATAATGTTTTGAACAATCTAATTTAACATAACCATACAAATTCTTATAAGTATAAATTAAATCTTAATACGACGAACTGACAGAAAATCCAGGTTACATTGTAAAAGTTTTCTTTTATAATTAAAATTGCGATTAGGAGAAAAACATCATATAAAATATTTTTGGAATCCTTCAATTATTTTACTTGATTTACGATATCTCGTGAAATAACATTAGTATTGTAGTCAAAAATTGGCCGAATGAACCCTTTGTACATTTTGATAAGAAAATCTTCAGTTTTGTTCTTAAACGAACGAAAAATAAAATTTAGTATTTTTGAGGATTTTCTTACTATGGTTCTGCAGTAAAGGTCGAAATCGAGATTTTCATCCACGATTATACCAAAATCGGAAACGTATGAGACTCTACTGATCATATTACCATTAAAAAAAAAGGATGATCGAATCCTTTAGAATTGATATGAAGAGCTCTACACTTTTGAAAAGAAAGGGTAATTTGCCTGTCATATAGCCAGTCAGCTATTCTGTTGAAGTCCTCCTGCAGTGGAGATAGGCTATCCACTCTACCATGAGAATAATAAATTTTACAATCATCAGCATAAAGATAAATAGAATTTATTATCACTGTGGTGATATCATTTATATATAATAGAAATAGCAATGGCGCAATATAATTACCTTGGGGTACGCCTGATTTAACAGGTGTCATGTCAGAAAGAGAGTTGTTAACATTTACAGCCTGGTAACGATCTTTTATGTAATCTGACACCCAGTTATAGAGGTCCCCTGTTACGCCATAACTATTAAGAGTGACCAATAATTTGCTGTGGGAGACAGAAGCCTTAGCCAAATCTAGGTACACAACTGATACTGTTTTGTCATTGTCAATTGATACAGACCAATCGGAAAGATTTGCCAATATTTGTGAAATCACAAAAACGAACAATATTTGCAAATTAATCATTAGCTATGAGCTAAATCATTTGGGCGTATTTTATACCTATTATCCAAACTTAGATTGATATAATAATTTACCATCCAGATAGAGCTAGAACGATAAAAATAAATGCTACACCTCTAACTTGAATCGATAAGGGACATCGACTTACTTAAAAATCTTCCATATTCAATCTCCAAATGCCATAATCACAAGGCTAAATCAAAATATTTGAATCGTTTTGGACTATCATGTACCCAAATTAAGTCACTGGTGGCGGAAGGCTATTCCTCTTCAATTTGCTTATCATAGATATTCTCTTTCCACCATGGATATTCATTCTTATTTTTTTCATCTATATATTTTCATTTATTTTTATAAATTGAAAAATTTTTAAGGGAAAAGAACAAAAATTTAAACGAAAAAAATTTAAAAATCAGTGGTTATCGTCAGTCAAAATTTATCAAAATAGTAATAACTTTATCAAAAATTGAAATGGGAAAAATTTCTCTATTTTCTATAAAGAAAAATTGAATAGTGTACATATGCAATGAGCGAAAGCCAAAAAATCTATATTAAAATGCATCGAAGGGGTAGAATCGATAGCATTTTAAATGCAAACACCATTGATTAAAGACCAGTTGTTCCAATAAAGCACCAATTTAAAGTAATTCAGTTTTTTGAACATTTTGCATTTTTTATTATTTTGTATTATATTTGGTTTTATATGTGAACACATGGATTTGGTGACGTCCATGCTCATAAAATGCCCATAATATATCAAAGAATCTTCAGAATTATTCTCTTTTTAGAAATTAAACTAATATGTTTAAGTAAATCTTTGAATAATCCCGAAACAGTTAGCAGACGGTGGTTAATAGTTCAGATGATAGTACTGAGAACAGTTTGACGTGCCTTCGATAGCACTAAATCTACTCGAGTGGTACTGGTGATTCATCTATTCCTCTCTCTCTCTGGCACAATTCTCTAACTGCATAATTTCAGCAGAGCGATCCTAGCCAGCTGAGCACTTATTAAGAATTTAGAACTTAATAGAGTTTTGCGGATGCTATAAACACTTTCTATTTACCTTCGAAACCTAATATTTTATTTTTTTAAAAATGAAATATTAGGAAAAAAAATTTATTTACAATTTACAGAAAGAAACTGAGATCCGATCAGATTTTCGCTTACATCGGCTTTTTAAGTATCTTAATGAAGCAGTTCTTATCCTTGCCTTATAATTGAATTTTAAGTCATCGCATTAGAAAACCATCAGATCTAATGAAATTGTGAGTTTCTAATTTCTCCATCATTTGTTAACCCACGTATGTCAATGGAGAGAAGAAGAGAAAATCTAATAGCAGGAAAAAAGATCAGAAAGAAAGCACGTCTGCTAAAATGTTTACAAATAATTTTTTAGGTTTTTTTTGACAATATTTTATCGCATATTTCGCAAAAAAATCGCAGAAAGGTTGAAAAATAGTCTAAAATAGCCGAGAATATGAACTTTTAAAATCCTTTTTATTAGATTCCTTATAGCAAATTTTGCAAAGAAAAATTAAATCATTAATTTATGAATGATTTACGACACTTTGAAGATTGATGGACATAGTAAAATAAATGAATTCGCTGAAAAATAAAATTTTTAGCGAATACATTTACTTTCATAATACTTCGTCTTTTAAACATAAATATAATTCCAAAATTCTTAACTTTTTCTCGAAAAACCGAAATTTGATTAGTGAAACCGAATAAAAACCCTCAATCCATTGTGAGTAGTGCTGGGATCCACTTGTATTTCTATCCACAAGAAATTCTTTGGCAACCAGCATTTCATTGTAATCGACAATAAAATCAGCCAAATCAAAAATGATGAATGCCAGAGCAATAACCACTTTTCATTCTATAAGTCAAATGGAAATATTCCTCAGGAAAGTATCAGGATATGGAAAAAAATAATTCTAGAAGGGAGATCTGACAAAGACATTTTTTTTTCTGTTCTTTTAAAATTTTTGCTGAAGTAAAATTCAGAATATAAAACAACTTTTTATTGGAAAAAAGAAAATGAACGCAGATATAGAGAACCAAAATTTTTACCCTAACCTGAAATGAATCCATTATGACCCAGAAAACTCATAAAAAACCGGTTTTCAGCACTTTTTATTGCTCTGATCGGTTTTGTTTGGTAATTACAATTTCTTGAATAATGAATTTTTAACGAAATGAAAGAAATTTTCGGAAAACCTATTTTCAAGAAAAAACCAATTTTTTTGATCAAATATACTTAACCTCAAAAATTTTCGAAATTTTAAAATTTTTGACGGAATTAAATCTTAAAAGTTATTGCTCAGAGAACATATAATAGTTTTTTATGCTCCACATCTTTGAAATTCTTGCTGGCATGAGCATTTTCCAATGGTAATAAAGGGTAATAATAT